CAGCCAGCATGGGAGTTGAAGTCCACTCATCTTAAAGTGGCCAAGTTTGGACAACACTGTCTTACACACTACACTTAGTTCCCCACATTCTCAAGCACTGGCCTTCAGTAAGACATGGAGCAGGAGGACATGCAGAATCCAGAAGTCCTTCCTCATTGATGCCCTCATCTTGGCCAAGTCTAAATTTGATTAGGGGCCTCTGCCTTGGCTGGTTCTTCTTAGAAGCCACCATCTTTCACTCTCATCTGATGATTCATCAGAGGTAGGCATGGCAAGAGGGTTGAGGAGTAGATATGATGGCAGTCTAGAAGCAGTGCAGCTCAGAAACCAGCATGATGTAGTGGTGATGGAGTTTGTTAAGCTAGGACTGACAAGTCACAAATTCAAGTTCCCCCTTAGCCATGGAAGCTCATGTGAGTGATTTTAGGCCAGTCACTCTCTCTCAGTCCAGCTTGCCTCACAAGATTGTTGTTGTGGGGAAAATTGGAGGAGGAAATGCTGTCTGTACTTGGAGGATAGGTAGAATATCAACCTAACACATAGATAAATAAACAAATCATGGTTGGAACACTGTAATTTTGATAGTTTGAAATTTTACTGGCATTTGAATTGAAAGAGTATTCTCATGGGTGTCATATTTATATGCAATTTCTCCCATCTAACTGATCTGTGTGAGAGGCAATTGTGGGTGAGTGTTTATAAACACAACCTTATTTCAGAGATAAGCAATATTTTGGAAGGCACACTTGACACTGGAGAAATGCTCCAGAAATCAAGATTCTCCCCACTCCAAATTAGCAAGTCTAGGACAAAAGAGTGGGCCAACCTGGGTCAAAAGCTAAATTTAGTTTGATTTAACTTTAATTTAGTTTACTTGAAAAGAATTCAGATTACTGAAATACTGGTGATATCTTCACTCTGAATGTAGTACTTTTCTTCTTTGATCAAGTTAAAAATACAGTTTGATACCAAGTTTTAGAACTTCTATGGACCCAGATTGGCCCAGTTATCTGTGATATGAATAACATGAACTATAGTTACTTAAGCTTTTCTTTTGGGAGGAGTTTTTTTTTTTTTAATTCCCCTGCAGAGAGTGAATTATCTCTAACTGATGAATAGATTCCACATTTTCCTTTTCCATCTGCTTTCATCCAGAAGGGAATTTTCCCAGTGATTAAATCAATATTTCTCAATGTTGGAATTCCTACAAGGCTTAGGACTGTGACTGTCACACCCTGTCTCCTTGCAGGAAAGGCTGATAACATTCATAATTATTTCTCAAGGAAACTCTTGTTTATTTATATTTATTTATGCCATGCCAATTTGTACTTGCCCCATGTTTGGCCTCATATGACTCACCAAATCACCTGCATTGCTGGATTGTCTTAGGCTTGGTCAATCACAAACTGAGTCATCAGCCTGGGGGAAAAAATCATGTGTATCTAAAACCGACTGGTGTTGGCAAGAAGATTTAACTTTCTTAGCTGACTCATATCCCTTCGCAAGTGTGTTTGTTTGCACGGGGGGGGGGGGGTTAGATGACATTCATACTTAGTATTAGGATGATTTTAAGTTGTTGCTAAAAGTGTGTGTGAGAGAGTGTTATTCCCCTCCAGAAACATGCATCAGAAATTAAACCTGTGAAAGTTAACCTTCTCACTTATCTGAGCTTTATGAGAGATATTCTCATGGTTGGAAGATATAATTATACCTCTGCTAATTAAAAGTGTT